TTACAAAGGGCGTAATCATTCGGCTGCTTTCATGAGTGCAGAACACCTGCCCCCATGAACACACAAACACACACAGACACACGCACAGAGACAAACACACACACCCAACACACACAGACAAGGCCCCGTATAGCATTAACAGACTGCTAGCGAGTGGCTCCTATGAAGGCCGGCAAGGCACGGCACACTAGGCGGTGGGTGGCCAGGACCACGCCCGGCCGCCTTTGTGTCCCGACTGGTGATGTTTACACACTGCACCAGGTACTTATTTGAGGCTGAGTCGACCTAGGTGAGGCCCAGGACCAGTTTAGATAATCGCTATCACTGGTGTTGACCGTAAGCGGGAATCGAACTCGGGTCGCCGAGTTCGTAAAGCAGCGTGCTAACCACTGAGCCACCGCTCCCCAATAAACAGACACACTCATGTACAAGTACACTGCATATGCAAGCCATTTAAATTATGTGTACATTTTCCACAATTTTCGAAATTGCACAGAAAATTCCAATTACGGGTATGTGGTTGAACGGCCCCATGCAAATGTAGTTACACATTATTTGCATACAATGTTGGGTGAATATATCTCCGCATTTACATTCCTACACAACGTCACACGAACAATAACACACGTGTATGAATCCTCAGTGTTGAGGGGGGAGAGACAACGATCTTCCTTTTAGCCAAGTGCTGTTATCGCAAGCACTAATGAGGGGTGTTACTGTGTACGAGAGAGTTTTGTGGCCAGCACCACACCCAGTCCGTCGTGTTTGTTTCGCCAATACGAATGTTTACACACCATACGAGGTGCTCCATTTAAGTTTGAGCTGACATAGGCGCGGAGGGACAGCCAGGTCAGCCTCAGACACCAAGTGGCCCCCAGTGATGCGAATGGCCCGCAAGCGAACCTGGCTCAGAGAGAAGTGTAAAGGGAATGGTGCAGCCCTGCACTTGCCGGCTGCCATCACCACTGGTGGAAGAGGCTTCACTCGTGGAAGGTCTCGTGTGCGCGTTTAGAGGGCATTTGGGCTATTCTTACAAGACGAGCCTTTTGCCCGTCCAAGGACGGGTGTACTGCAGTAAATCTGAAACTTGCAAGCGAAAAGCAGCCCGTGACGTGATATTCATCGCATCCATGCGCGTGCAGTTTGTAAGGGCGCGGTGACACAGACTTATTTCATGTAAAGTTTATAATCCCTTGTTCATCACGACGTCCTTTTACTTCTATGTCTCAACAGCGTGACGGAGACCACGTGACGTGCGGGTTCTGCCTTGTCGTGAGGGTTGTGAGTTGACGCGAGGAGGGGGGAGGAGGCGCCTCGGCCCCCCATGTGGAGTGACGTCACCCGCTAATTATTATTGATGAGGGGTGGAGGGTGTCGATTTGGAGGACATCACCTGCTCATGAATATTAATGAGGGGGGCTGGTCAATGTGGAGTGACGTCACAAGCGTTAAGGACAAACATTCCTGCGTGATTATAGTAGGTATGGTCAGATTAACACGGCTGGCTCCGTACGGTGCGAAAGAAGTTCAACATACATACGTACGTACATGTCTTGGAAAAAGTGGAGTACTCACACTTTACCCCACCACATGCACCATGGTTGGGATTTAAGAGACTTCCACCATTGTTTCAAACGCCTCACCAGGCAGATCAAACCAGCAACCTCTGGATTGCAAGGTCGGTGTGCTAATAAGTACACCGCGACCATCAGAGAAATGTATGAACGGTGAAATCACCAATCACCCCACCCTCACACCCGCTCCCATACGTGAATATTAGGCATGTGATGATTCATATATTGATGAATTAAAATCAAAATCAATTCTTGTGTGTAATAAATAATTTTGATAATTTTAAATGTTAAGTGTATTATATGCTAACACAATCACTGAGGAAAATGGAGCAACTAGATCGCTTGGGAGGTGACCCCATAACGTACCTAATATATCCATGTCCACTGTACCGTTTACATGTGTGTATTTATAAGCACGCAGATTCCACCGCCCTTGTGAACGTATCCACAATGAGTTAAGGGTGGGCGCCGATCTTTTAATCCTTTTTTTTACAGAATAAAACCACGTTAAAAAAATGTAATACAATTGTTGTATTTGTTACTGCTGTATGTTTGAGCAGCCCTCTGACATGGGCAGAAATGAAGGACTTGCTGAACGCAACGCCAATGGCGCCTGTGGTGAGAGAGGGCGATGCTTGGGTCACCCGCAGGGTCTCCCGCACAATGCCCTAGAAACAAGCCACCCTTAAGGTTCAATGCTGCATCATTTTATTAACCATGCTATTATCATTCGCATGGGGTTAAGAGTTAAGGAACAGCCATAAAATGGTCTGTCTTATACAATCCATTACGGAAATCATTCTGGCTTTGTCATAGAGTACTCAGCTTTAAAGGCTCTCCATTTGTCTTGCATGTTCACCCGTAGATGGTAGAAAAATTGACTACTGATGATAAAGATTTTTTATTTATTTTATTTTACATTCAGACAGGAGCCATGCATCATGACTTAAGTGTGATTACTGTCTGTCCGCAAAACGACACTATCAATGTAAAAGGAGCAGCAAAAATGCATGGAATGCACAATTGCCACGTTGAAGGGTATCCTTGTTTGGAGGCACTCTGCTTACAAGGGAACCTGGCTATCATCAACCTATTATGGCTTCCTGATAAGTGCCACTTCCTTCCATGCTGCGTATGGGCCCTGCTAACCTCGAGAGTGAGCGATGGAGTCAGAACCATGAACCCAGTGCACTGACGCAGACAATCTCAAACACCAGGTATCACGGTCGGCCTTCACTGGGCATTCCGCCAACGTGTGAAATGCAGTGGTTAATATTTTTGCTTGAATAATGGTGACAAAAGGAAGCTTTCCAGTGGGGCGGCTTGAACATTAATGTTTAAGAACAATTACCCCAGTGGCTCTTCTTTATTTTGTATTCGTGTCCACATTCAGAGAATAACACCTGATAAACTGATGGAAACTGTACCACTTTATATTTTAAAATCACTTTTTTTTTTAAGTATGTGGTACCTGTCTGATAGGTATTCTTTCTCCCCCACTCTCACCTGGTGATTCGAGGAATTGTCAGGAATCTGGGTCGTGATTCGATTCGAGGGACTTTTTGGTTTGTGTTTACTGCCTCATTCATATTCTCACTTGTTCTGTCCTGTTTGTCCTCTCTAGTTTTTTCACGTAGCAAAAATGTACACTTTGTACATGCTAATCAAGTAAATAGTTGGGAAAAGAAACAATTCTCACATCATGATTCCATGCGTGTATCACGAGTGTAAACGATCATTAAAGTCGATTAATTGTTAAAGGATTACTGTTTATCACATTACGCCTTGGAGCTTAACAGACAGTGGCCATTTATGGATGTACATTTCAATGACTATGTTGCTAGAATTAATCCAACATTTTTCTCGTGGCCCTTCTTGATAGCAAAGAAGAGGTTTTCCACATCATATTTTGTTACTGGCAAAGAAGGTCCCATGATGAAGCAAATACATTGTTTTTGCATGCTATAATGAAGGTCCGTTGCCCAACATGTCCCCCAATATATATTTTTCATTTTAAGGCCACAGTTTTATTGACGAATGTGTTAGAGTATTTTTCTTAATTCAGCTGTGTGCACAAACTGCTAAATGCAGTACGACCAAATCATCTGTTTAAGTTTGCTCATAGGATTTTTCAAGCTGCTATCTCATTTATCCGTGGATATTAATGTTGCCTGTGCTTCTCGTGAGATGTGGCTTTAAAGCGGTAGTCACATGGTTAAATGAAACCACCAGCAAATAAACAGTCAAATTTTTTATGAAATGAATCAAATGTGACTGCTGAAATGCAGCAACAGGGTATGCACACAGTTGTTTAATAAGCCATATATCACTAAGGCCGTATGGCCTTTAGCCTATATAAAATGAGCTAGGCAAAGCTGTCAGCAGACCATTATTATGACTTGCATTCCTAAAGTCCCACAAAGGCATGCTGGCCTCACTGTTCGTGGGTACACTGTCTTCAATATTTTAGGGAATGTGTGAGCCTACAACTGAAAGTATTTCAGAGTCAAAATTTTATTACCTACTTTATAGAATAATATTTCCACTACCATGGCATGGGTGTATTTGTACATTGTTTGTACTATCGGCATCAAGTCATGTATATATGCTGAACTTACTTTACACCGCATGTAGCCAACCGTTCTAATTGGAGGTGCGGGGTAAGGACACAAAACTAAACACAACAAAGCAGTTCTAAGAAATGTAGTTTTCAATCGATATTTAAAAGTGCATAGCTCCAGTGGCTTCCAAATATCGGAAGGAAGAGCATTCCAGACGATTGTAGAAGCATATCTAAAATGGGGCGATGCAGTGACCGTCTTTGTTCGATGGTTTGCCAAATGCCGTTGCGAGGATTACCGGAGTTGGCATGATGGTTTAAGTTCCTTGACGAGATCAGCAAGGTATTGGTAGCAAGCACTTTGTGTTTAATGAATGTAACCCTGAATTCTTCCTAAGATGAAGATTCCATTTCTAAATCTCACAGGGCATTGTGCTGAATGCGTCAGAATAACTGGGGAAGCGATTTTCCACAGGACATCAAATGTTTTCTTTAAGACAATCGGGGTCGCACTTTCTCACACACTTCACTATGAGACTGTTGTGTAGCATGACCATCGAACCGATACATTCATCATTCTTAATAGATGTAATTTATTCAAATGAAGTGCCAAACCTAATATTATTTTTGTGCAGTCGTTGGTAAATTCGGCTGAGACCATCAACTCACTCCACTTAAGAACCAGGTTTAACTACGGCTGGGGGCTCTTCAGATGCACACCTAGGGTATGTATGTGTATGTTTAACCTCTTTCCCACCGTACACCAGCCGTGCGAATCGGTGGCTGACCCACCTGGCCACCACCACCTCTGGCGTTCGTACATTCGGTAGCAACAGTCGCACGCCGCCGTGCCGCGTGCCACCCACCTGTGCTCGAGTTGATGGCGAAGAAGCCCTGTGGGTTTCCGCTGACGATGCGGAATTTCAGCCCCTCGCCTGAGCCCGTGTCTGGGTCCCAGGCGTCCACGCGAACCACCGGCACGTCTTTGGGAGAATTCTCCGCCACCTCGGCCAGGTAGACGGGCTCGGAGGTCTGCGGGGCGTTGTCGTTGACGTCCTGGGCATGGGGGGGGAGAGGCACGGGCTCGTCTCGTCTAATTTTGAAACACAACAGGTGCGTGTGTTTGTGTCTACGCGTGTGGGGAGCGGGAGTGTCACAGTGAGCGAGCGCTGCACTCGAACCCAACAACTCGAGTTCGATTCCTGCTCACGGCCAACATCGGTGATGAATATCTGAGCCGGTCCTGGGACTCCTCTAGGTCTTAAATAAGTTCCTGGTGCAGTGTGTAAACATCAGTGTTGGGGAAACAAAGGCGGTCGGGCATGGTGCTGACCCCTCATGTGCTGTGCCGGCCTTCATAGGTTCTAGCTAACACCACTTGCCCCAACTGCCCCACCAGCCTGTTAAAGGCTATGCGGGAGAGGATATTTGGCTAACTACATAACACACACACGACTCAACTGGAGAGCATTGCTCAGGGTGCTCGATTCGCAATAAAGGCGCTAAGGCCTGGCCGGAGGTCAACTCAACCCACCACCCCTTCCTGTGTCAATAAATAAATACCACTTGTTGAGATTTCCACAACGGTCGTCCTGTGGAATGTTCACCACTCATAGAGGGCTGCCAACACAACTGAGCACCGCCTCATTTCTCTTTTGAGCAGGGATACAGTTGACTTCGACACAATATGGGGTTAAGTTCAAGTCGAAAACTTGAAACTGATTTGAACTCACAATATTAATATTGGGCACCTGTTGCTGTGCCAACGGAAGTAAACAAAGACTCAGCTTTGCATGCTGAAGATTTGTTGCTATTACTTTACAGAATAAGCCTAATCCCTCTTGTTTATAATGAGGGCCTGTTTGCTTTGGGTGTACACATTTCAACTGACAGCTGATTAGCCCTCGACAAGAGTGGACGTGAACCGTCTCTTAAGAAGCTTATCCCCGACGAGGCATGTGAGAAGTGTTCCTTAAAAAAGCAAAAGTACAACTTTGTAGTCGGACTTCCCCATACATTTGCAGGATTATAGCTTAAGGTACGTTACCAGCATTATGCCTCACTAACAGTTACAAACATTCCAAGAAAATACACTGCTAGTTAAACAAAGGGATAAATAAAAGACTCTCCCCTCCTAAGTACAAAAATTATTGCATTATATATTCCACATTGAAGCGCCCAACTCAATCGGAAGGTTGTGAGTTCATATTTTAGAGGTTCAACTTAGCATATCATTCCTCTAGGGTTATTAAAATGTATACCAATGAGTACTTCTGTCTGGAGAACCCCTCCAGATGGTATTTGGCCTACTCTTCCACGCTGGCCATCAACTTTTGAAGAGGCGGGTGTGCCCACACTTTACTCCGCCACACGCCACGTGCCGGTCACCTGTCGGTTACCCGTTTACATGACTGGGTAGACAGAGGCGAGAGACTTGAAGGAACTCAGCCAGTGTTTCAACCGCCGCACCGGGAGGACGAACCAAACTGGCGACCTCTGGATCGTCCACCAGTGTGCCAACCCTCGCACCATGGCGTCTTGAACGACTGCACCAATCTCCAGCCAGTCAAACGATTTATAAAGTGATGATGACGATCATGATCCTTAAACGTGGACCTGTACAGTTGGTTGTTTGTATGTATGTATGTTGAACTTCTTTCGCAGTGTACGTAGCCAACCGCGCTAATCGGAGGTGCGGGGGAAGGACAACAAACTAAACACAAAAAGCAGCTCTAAAGAAATTAGTTTTCAGTCTAGATTTAAAATATATATCTCCAGTGGCTTCCTAATATCGGAAGGAAGAGCGTTCCAGCCACAAGCCGCTGCTCTGAGGACGACCGGAGTTCGCGTGATGGTGGTTTACGCTCCTTGACGAGATCAGCGAGGTGTCGCGGTTCATTTTTGCGTCGTGATAGAAGCAAGCGGCCTCTCTGGAGGCACTGAGTCGCGGCGTACCTGCACCTCCACGTACACGTGGAGTGTGGAGAAGCGTGGGACGACGGCCCGGTCCGTAGCGTACACCATGAGCCAGTAGCGGCTCGCCGTCTCGCGGTCCAGCAGCTGCGCCGTGCCGATCGCCCCTGCGACGGCGGAAATGGATGGCATGACAGAAGCACGTGGCAATGAGCCGTCGTTGATTTGCGCGGTTGGCTACGTATGGCGCGATAGAAGTTTAATGTACATACGTACGTATATATACGGGACGATGCAGCTGCTGCGACGGAGTGCGTCGCTCACAACGTGAGCAATTTGTACGACTTGCATGCATTCCGTTTGTTATCAACGCGCGCTCACAACAAATGCATCAGCGTGCACAGAGCAAAGATGAAAGGGATGTAAATATATTAGCGCGATCCTTTCCTTGTAAACGCACGCCGTGTCAGATGTGCATTTATGCATCAATTGATACATTTATGCGTTCGTCAATTCCGAGTATCATCAAAGAGACAATGGGGTGTGAACGCAGTGTTACCTGTGAACACCATCAGCTGTCAATATGGAACACAACAGTTTTATGGAAATGCCTTTACATACACAGAGTTAAAGTGACTTCCTGCTTAGATGAGCACTGAGGTAGAGTGCTGATGTTCGGTGAACATCCCTGTGCGGTGGGAATACCACATCGCTATGACGGAGAACGTTGATCAATAGGACACCCACTTGTGACTTTCTGACAAAGCGGTACGCATGTATCGACCCCGGAGGGGAGATTTACATACACCAATACACACACATTAACAAAACAGTACCTCACAATAAGCACACACATACCTGATAACTACAACTGTACGCATTAAGAAATTGTCCAACATTTGTTTTTATCTAAATGGCAACATGTATGATATGCTCCAGCAGATGTCTCAATCATGAAAATGAATGTCTCTGAAAGCACGACATGCTGCTCGCATTCGCCTCTTCATTCCATCATTTAAAATCTTGGGTTCAACCTTCAATCGTTGCCCTGGATATTAATATTGTACTGAAAAGCAATGGACCAATATGCTTGAAGAGAACCTTCTTTCTTATGTTTCATATTAACGGCCGTGACACGTGGATCAGAAACACGGGGGCCGACAAAGGGAATCGAACAAAAGATTAAACGAGTGCAAAGAAGTGTGTATCGGGGCGTACTTGGTACTACATTAACAACCGGAAGGAAACACATTGCATCAAATTAGAGGCATCGCCTTGACTGTGAGGGAAAGTGAGGGGGCTTAGACACAACCCAGAATTAGCGGGGATGAGGGCTGATGACTGGTGATGAAATGGCAGCCACAGGAGAATAAAAGACCGCAGAGGACCACCACTGGGGAGATGGAGTGATGGGATCAGCTCCATGTTCAGGAGTGCCGCTAGATCGTGGCGTCCTGGGACCATGAGGAATTGTGACAATGTGGAGAAGATGTTATCCAAAAGTAGATTGACAAGTCTTGATGATGATAAGATTACTCATGGTACACACTAACGATTTGAAAACGAATTTACACGAAGGTTTTCTTCACACTTCTGGAACAAATGCCTGATGATGCTGGTTGTAATCACCAGGAAATTGTCGTACTCAGTTGAAATGTCGTGGGTTTGCTCTCCAACACATCGGTGTTGCTGAAGTAGTAGACAATTGGCACCTTCTTACTGATTGCCTATGGAGGTGGCTATACGACACATTTACATTTACGCGACCAAACACAAAACAATTATCATATTTTACCGTGCTTATAAAACGGAATACCATACATCAAAGAAGGTATTAAAACCACAATAACTTCACGATTGTAGTGTGTAATGCATTCCATCCATATGCGTGCAACTTCACGAAATAATCAAACATTCACCCCTCTGCACGTCGTCTTTACAGTTTTCAGTTTTCCTGCTGCGTTTGCGATCCCTCAAAGTGCTTCTATGGGCAAGGCTGCGTTAAAATGCAAAACCCAACACTCAATCCTTGTTATCTTCACAATGATACCTGGTGCAGAAAAGTAAATTATCCTCGCCAGCCCAGGGTTTAGGGATCATCCATGCCTAGGATTGGATGGGAGAGGAAATCCAGTTAAACACGTACGGCTGGTTTTAGCACTGCTGACAGAATACACACCACTGCCGCTGTGGAAATGTAAATCCACGCCATCTGACCTACTTCACCCGTGTCTGTGGGTTCGGGTCAAATCCAAGGTTTCCATCGTTGCCGTGGTGTAATGGTCAGCAATCTGGAATTGCAATCAAGAGGTTGGTGTCCTTTTTCCCAGCGTGACAATTTAATTAATGGGCCAATGTTTGTTGTATTTCCGCCCTCTGTACACGAAGCAGTATGGGGACACCTCCACCGCAGCAGCTTGTTGTTGTTGCTCAGCAGGTCACGTGTTAAGTGTGGGTACTCCCACCTCTTACAATATGTCTTGTATCGAAGAGTAGGCCAAATACTGCTACTGTTATTTACTACTACTATTTAATTTACCAGGTAAGGCCCACTGCGCTACTATAGAGCTCTTTTTCAGAAGCCACCTGGCCACAAATGATAACTCAACGAAGTGGCTTATCACGTGGAAATGTATAGCAGCCAAATACTCTAAACGCGTGACGTCGATTCTAAATATGGAGGGAAACACCGGAGGACCCGGAGAACACGGGGAGAGAGACACGCAAACTCCATCGGCGTTCTCTAGAGGGGTTCTGTAGAGTTCCCCTTCCACCAGCAGTGGCACAAGACATTAATTGCATGCCTTTCCTTTTTTACCTTCACAGGTTTTCGTTTTTGGGTTCCACACCACCCCAGGTTGTTTCCTGATATTTGTGCAGTATTTATATATATATCCAGCTGTACATGCACATGTCGTTGCATGGCTTGACTTACAATTCAAAGATTGTCACAGTTGGATTGACTCAGCACATCATCCTTCTCAGGGATGTGAAATGAGTTCTGCTTTGTGGGAAGTCAACAGTGGCTCTCTACACACGCAACGGACAGTGGTTATGGTTGACGTGCTTGCCACTGATGAGATGCTGGTAGGCATATAATGATGCTTCGATTGATTGCTCAAAATGCATATATGCAATGTGAAATACGTATGTATAAATACTCAGTGCCATCGCAAGGAATATTTAGCCAATGCAACAAACCTTATGGGTTCGATACAATATATCAAGACGTGAATAGCACAGGCTACACTGGTCATGTATACTAAGATATATGAAATGTAATTATTTAACACATGGGAAAAAATATGCATGCCGTGATATGTTATATTTGAAGCATTTTAAACGGGAATTTTTTAAATACAGTAAATTTAAATCAAAATAATCAGGCGTTAAATCTCTCTTGGATATTTCAGGAGGAAAAAAAGATAAACCATTGCAACTTTGTTCCGTTTCACTCACTTCAGCAGTTTGAAATTACATTACAGCGAACCTTTCCACCCGTGCCACACGTTGCAGGCATCCGCCTGGTACGAGCAAGGAGTGGTTAACAATTCCGACTCTCTCCGGTCCCCCGAGAAAAGCGCTTGCCATTCCACATCCTTCTGGCCTACGGTCGCCGGCAGCTGCAGACATTTTGTCATCTCTCAGACATCCACCGACGAAGCCTCCAGACGTGTCGGGCATTCGCGGAGAGACCAGCTGGCACACTGTGCGTCCGCACCACATTCACCGCGCAAACTGCAGGCAGCTTGACCAGAGTCACCCAGCAACCAATACCGCTGTGCAGCATCATCCAATAATGCACGCTTACAAATAAATAAGCAGGGCCAATGTCAAAATTCATTCTCAAGCTTTATAAGATTCAAATTGGCTGTCCATCTAGCTGTCACAAAGTGTCATCTCGTGCAAACGTTTGCAGATTGTTTTTTAAAGCAGATTCTCGGTTACCTTGCCTTTCAAGGCACTTTAACAGAACTGAGGAAAGTGCTAAATGCCATTCTCTCCATATACATGTATCATCCGTAGTTGGCACAGTGCCTTTAACATATTCAGGTCAAAAGTAAGAGGAGAAAGTGACTCAAAACAGTGAAGCGTAAAGGAGTCTCCGAAATGTGCCCTGTGTATGTGCTCCGTTCATCCTGTTTGCCTGAATACAGTCTCCACCATTCTTGGCAACATCTTTAGTTATGCCGGCATGGCTCAGTAAGCTGCATAACATTCAGTGAGCTCACTCGAAATCTTATGAATCCACGAAGATTTACATGCAATGAACGAATGGCTTTCTAGATTACATCTCAGCTCAGGCATACATATGTCAAGTAAGATACTCCTCCAAATCCACCACATCACAGAATGAAATATCTGACTTAATAGACATGTGCTTTTTTTAAAGATCTCTTCTAATATGCTCATCATGATGACTCATATTGGAATGAAACATCACTTATTAAGCACGGTAAATTGTTTACGTAACACGTTTTACTACTATGTTTGGTTATAGATGGCATCTTAAATAGAACTTGGGAAAACATTCCAGTTCCCACGTGATATTTTATTTCAGTACCGCGTGCATTCGCCAGCGCGAGCACGAAGCCTCCTTATACACAAACCACACAGTGTGCACAACAGAACTCAGCTTCTGGGCCCATCAATGGGAAGAGTTGAGGTTAACGGAGATGCTCAGTGCTACTTACGATAAACAGCCGAGTTCTTACAGGTGGCGAGTGCCTCTTCTAATACAATACGGATTGTTCCACAAGCTTTGTTGAAACACTCAAGGGAATTATTATGATTCTCCCTATCCTGTAATTAGGTGTTAGGCTATTCAAAACTGGGATATGAGTTATATATGTGATTATGAATCTATTTTTGAGATGTATATGGCCCTGGAATTATTAAATCATGTCTACATTCTTGTTACGTCATGTCATATTGGATAGAGTGGCCTTTAAAATAAATTTCAAGTGCATTAATACACAAGAGAGAGTGCATTCATAATCTCTGTAGGAATCGAAGTGGCTATGGTTATAAGATTGTGCAAGAGTGTGTGCGTGCTAAAAAACAAATGCATGCAGATGCTACGTGCATACATTGAGTAGAGCAAAGAATATTGCAGCACTGGACTTCAGATGAACGAAGACAAGCACACCATTCAGATAAATCCGAG